TTAGAAATTGGATTTTAGTAAAACAAAACCCAGGGGCCCCAGCATTTCCTCCAGGAACCTATATTCTCCAAACTCCCCCCTTTCAGAAGGGATCAGTTCAGAGCAAGAACAGAGTGCTTTGGAATGGATGGTTTACATTTAAATAAAATAGGGGCTGGCTTGTTTGCTGTGGCTATTAAATCAGCTGTAAGGGAAGTTTTAAACTAGAACTAGACAGTGATGAAGATCAGGATAAACTAACTGCAAAAAAGAATGAGAGGCAGAGAAAAGTTTTGCATAGGAAAAGAGTATAGAAGTAGTTATAAGGATAGGCCTAATTGTTACTGTTGTAATGCTAGAAGTATAAGAAATAAAACAGATAAATTTAATGAGAAACTTTACAATGAAATTTAGAATTCAGCTGTTAATGAAGTCATAATTATGGTTGATTTTAATATCAGGCATATAGATTGGGAAATGCTAAAGTTAAACCATGAACGAGAAAGGTTTTTTGGAAACTGTTCAAATGGCTTTCTTCACCAATTAGTCAAGAAACCTATTAGAATCAATGTTATTTTAGATCTATTGTTAACTTCAAATTCAGAAATGATCGAGAACATGGAAACTGGGGAACATCTGGGTGCAAGTGATCATTACTCTATTAGGTTCAATGTTTTGCAGCATGTGGTGATAACGAATAATGATATTTTGGTTTAAAAATTTCAAAAAAGCAAATTTTGATGGGATGCAACAAGAATTATCTGTTGTGAATTGGGGAAACACTGATCAGATGTGAAAAATTTTTAACTATTCCATGTAAACATATTCCTTAAAGAAATAAAAGGGTAGCTGCAAGTAAAAAACCAGGTTGACTGACAGAAAGTATAAGAGATAGAATTAAAGAGAAGCATCATAAATTTATATGAACTGGTATGACAAGAGATTTACAATATTATAGAAGACCAAGAAAGTTTGTGAAACAGGAAATTAGGACATCAAAAAGGATGTATGAGAAAAGGTTAGCTGAAAATGTAAAAATTAACAGTAAGGATTTCTTTAAATGTTAGGATGGGAGTAGAACCCTTAAGGGATGATAAAGGAAGGGTCGTATCTTATGATTATGAGACGACTGGGTTATTAAATTTAGCTTTTTCTTCATTTTTACTAACAAAGATTTAAGCAGTATTCCACATCTTGAACAGTTGATAGATGGATACAAGATCGAACAAGATGCATTAATAATGAGCTGGTTAAGGAAAAATTTGAAAGTTTAAACAATGATAAGACTCCTGGGGCAGATAATATTTCCCCAAGGGTTTTGAAGGAGGATAAAGATGGGATATGTGAGCCACTTGCTACTATTTTTTGTCAGCCCTTGATCAGTGGGCAGGTACCAGGGGATTGGAAGTTAGCTAATGTAACTCATCTTTTTAAAGGGAAGTGATAAAAACTGTCCCAGTAATTATAGACCCATTAGCCTTACATCTGTTGTGGGAATAGTTTTGGACAGTCTCATAAAAGTGCTTTACAAAGTCATTTAACAAAGTTTAGAATTTTATTGGATAGTCAACATGGTTTCACTAAGGGAAAATATTGCCTTAAAAATCTTTTGACATTCTCAAAAAGGTTACTGCTTATGTAGATGAGAGTGTAGAATTGGTGTATTTGGATGAAAGTTCTTGATAGACACTGATTGTATAGTGTAAAAAGCATTGAGTATTTACATTTTAAAGTCATCTAATGTTCATCTACTAATGTCTGGTAATACCTGTTTAATGGAACAAACGATATTTGTAAGAAAGTTAATTTCATGAGGTATTGATAAAATCATTTACACTAGAATTATGTTTTTTAAAAAAGCTCGTGTAAAATATAGAAGAAATGAATAGACTTTTCAATATCCCTACGACCTTCACAATACCAGACTTAGTATTCTACAAAAGGTTTTGGTGTAATATACCAAGGCATTATTAACATCTGATTTCAAATACTATGAAGGAGACAAAGCAGTTTTAGATTATCTGTTTTGTAAGACTTTGTTTTTCTGTCAAAACATGGGTGATTTCTCCAGTACAAATCAAAATTAAATTTTAGATAATTATTCATTCATTTATCATTAACCATGATAGTGGTTTATAATAGTAACTGCAACAAATTACATAACACCCTAATAAAGCATTTGGGCACAAAAGCACCTTAAACAGTAAAGATTCAGTTCAAACAACACTTTAAAACATTTACTATTGACTGCTAAGGCTGTATGGATGTAAAATGCACAAAAAAGCACACATGTTAGACTTACAAGAAAAAAGAAATCTGTTTCAAATGGCCCATTTGTAATTATTACTCTCTTGCCAGACTACAACAACATCTGAGGTTATTTGTTAACCTTCATTTGTTTGCTTGAAAGTACAATACCCTCCCCCTATGTGCATCATCATGTTTTACATTTTTTACAGAATGTCAAATGAGTAATTCTGATGTATTTATATGCACATGAAAGTTAATTTTTTAACTACTTGGATGTGACTCCTGAACTATTTGGTATGTAACTTATTTTAACACAAGTAATAATCAGTTTAGAACTATTGATATTACCCAAAATGCCAGAAAAATTGTTTTATGCCTCTTTTGACACTCCCTCATCTTGTAAACTACTGAGGAGTAACACAAAGGCAAGTAAGTATAACAAAATATAAAACACAATGATTACATGATTAATACATACCAAGTCTTCTGTATCCTTGCTACCTGCACTGTGCTCTGATCCACCATGTTGTCCAAATTAGTTGGGGATCCTCCCCATCTGTGGTAGTCTCCATACTCTTCTGAATAAATTGAAAATAACACAAGTTTAACTTTATATATGCCCCTCAAGTACCATTTAATACTAACACTGTTAAAATGCCAATTTCCACCTAAGGAATCTCAAAAAATGTTAGATTCCTACAAAATTAGATTAATGAAGTGACTTTTACAGTTTGACATTTCCAAATAAAAAATCCAGTGATCAACACACTCAATAAAATAATAGAAAGATCTATTCGTAGCACAAAGTTTCAGCTACTGAGTACTTTAACCCTATGGCAACATGTTGGTCAAGTTGATTCATCACGAAAAACAATAAAGCTATTTATACAAGAAGGTGGATGGTTGCAAGATTGAGACTGACTTGCATCATGCTCTGGATCCTTGAGCAGAACACTCTACTCCAATTGTTTCAGTTTACCCAGCTTTTAGCTGAGGATTAACCTGTGATAAAGATAGATTCTATTCAGGAGGAAAGTGTAACCATTCTCACCCCACGTGTGCCAATTTACCCACAGTTCAGCACAGAATCCTATGGAACTTTAAACTATACCCACTAAAACTTTTAATATTCTATGTTTATCTTTATAAAATTTGGCAAGATTTTAGCAAACATTTCAAGTCTCTTGTACACAGAAAATCAAAATTCCTAAATGTCTGTCTGTTAATTTCTAAGGCATTTATTGAGTTGATCAGAATTCAAGGTGATATTTACATGGCATGCTTGGAAAATGCTTTTCTATTTAATTTGTCTAACTTCTAAAACCTTCTAAATGAATATCAGATATTTCAAGGTAGTATTTTGTGTGTTATTTTCTCTGCCCTAAGACCAACTGTTGCTAAATCATCAGTGTGTAGTTAAATGAAATTTTAAACTGAATATATATTACCTATATCTTTCTTCATCTTTGTACATGTTTATGTTACTACAGCTTCAATTAGTGATATTCATAATTTCAACTGTTTACCTTTCACATCTATTTTAATTATATGGTTTTATTGGCTGGCTTATACCCTGTAAAACAACTCATCATACTGTGAACACAATAGCATATTCTCACACACTGGCATGACATGAAATTGCGCACTTAAACAGTGTAGGTAAAATAGTCCAAGTTCATGTTCTCCAAGTTTGTTCTCAAAACAAATATTCATGTTACTTCCAAACAACTACTTTAGAACAAGAAAAAAACACAATGTCCAAAAACGGCTCTGACTTAATTAACTGGCTTTCTAAATAATCTATAACAAGGTTCAAAAAGATATTAATACTATGAACATCAAATTCACTTATATACAAGATCAATAAATTCCTCTCAAATTAATGTTTATTGCAGCCCAATGCAAAAGGATGGTTGTAAGCTTGAAACAGAAATTAAAAACAAAAACTTTTGTATTAGTAAACATTTGCACCAAATAAGAACACGTGCTTTTGAAAACTGCCTTGAAAGTTAAGAATTGATTAGTGAGGCTTCTATTGTGGGTTGGGAAAATATACTGATATCCCAGCAAATGGAGAAGTTAGGAGCTTGTTCAATACTTCAAAAATAATTTTTACAAATTAGATAATAATGTTTCCCTATACATGTGCCGCCCCCGCTCCCCGTGGCACAGCGGTACGTCTGTGGACTTACAATGCTAGAAACCGGGTTTCGATATCCGTGGTGAGCAGAGCACAGATAGCCCTTGTGTAGCTTTGTGCTTAACTACAAACAAACCCTATACATGTTGTGTTTAAAGTACAAATTGAGAGTATTTTGTTATCAACATGATGTGCATAACATTTTTGGTACTGTATAACAGATAGCTTATTCAGAATCCCCTATAGTTTTATTGTTGCATTGTGTGGTGTTCGATTTTAGGCTTATAATGACACATATCTTTTCTTTATTTACCTAAAAAAGCCTGTAGTTGATAATTTTATTATTAGTTGAAGGAATTACAGGAATCAAAATATGACAAGGTCAAATATACAATTTCATTGTTATGCATTTGGTAGAAGAGGACATGCACCTGGTACACATATTCATGTTTGAGTTGATAAACATTAGTGATGTGGAGAAAGATATTGTATACTTGTAAGAAAGATCAGTCCAGCTGATGTTACTAAGGTCAACCTATGAACCTCCACTATTGTAGGTATTCATAGTTTGCAATTTTCCATCATGTCTCACTATTTTTTTACTTATATTTTGATTTTAAGGAGATCCAATCTTCCACGGAGTTGAAACTCTTCCACAAACTAGGACAACATTCCCTGCAAGTTTCAAAGCTGAAACTTTAATCACAGAATGTGGAATCAAAGTTTTGCTCCCTACGAATCTCCTATGACACAGAAGCAACTGGTCACCCAATATGCTGCTGGTATTACTAATTTTGCTAACAGAAACAAGAACACTAGATGATTGGTTTCTACTTTCACCAGAACATGTCAATTCCTCTTCCAACACCACTTACTTATTTGATACAGTTGACCACGATTAAAAGTCTAATGATCTGTGACACACTTACTGTTTAGCTTAGTTAGAAAGCTAGTTATATCATAGTTGTTTTGGGATAGTACGTTTTAGTGAGTCGTGTATTATTTATGTTCTAAAATGCATATTTAAAAAGTACATGAAAATGTTTTGACCATGAATTTAGAACTTATAGAAAAAAACAACCAAAGCTTATTTACCTGCATTGTTTAAGTGCACAATGTGCTAGTATACGAGAACCTGCTAATGTGTTCCCACTTGTTGTTTTTCAGGGTTTAAACTATGTGCATGGTACAAGCCAGACAAGAAAGCTATAAAATGAAAATAACTAAATTTGTAAAGGTAAAGTTGAAATTGTGAATATGAAAAAATAAAATATTTCAAAATGATGATTTCAAAGTGGAAAAAAAGACCCTGTTAATTTTATTTCAAAATCTCATATTATTGTACCTTAATGATTTAGCTGCAGTTAGTATTAGAGAAAATAATAAATATAGATTTAACCTTAAAAAAATTTGTTATTCATTTAAGAGGTTCAAGATGCTATGCAATTGAAATAAGTTCAGTTCTAGTATGAATAGCTTCAGGATTTCCCCAAATCATGCTAAATGACCATCCCCTCAAGAAAGGATTCTTTCAGCTTAATCTATTAGTGTCATGACTAATGATAATAACCAACAAATTAAGGTTTCCAATTGTTTCTATTTTCAATCATCCCAAGTAACTAAAATATTACCATGATGTTTGTTTGTTGTTATACACAATGAGCTATCTGTGCTCTGCTCAATGAGTTTATGAAAACTAAATTTTTCACATTATAATTTTTTTTATTCCCATCTCATGTGAAAATATTGGATTAATTTCTTTTGTGCCATCTTGTCAGAATGACCAATTTGTTTATTGTAATCAATTAATAGGCCTGACGATTAATCATTAATGTTTTTAAGTTACTGACACTATTGGATGAAATGCATTCACATAATTGTTCTGCCTCATTGTGAAGTTTTTATAACTTGTGAATGAAGGTAAAGAAGAAGGTTAAAAGATGTTTCAACCACATTGTTTCTGCCTATCTCCACTGCTGACAAAGTCTTTCATATAATACCAGCAAATATCAGGCCAATTTTACATTGACCAGAGTTTGGGTGATCTGTGGAACTTGCTAATAGCGAAGTTGTTTGGTTGTATTTTGTCATTCTCACTTCTTACATAAGCACATGCATCTTTAAAAAATGTTCATGTCAGGATAGTTTTGCAGACAAACTATTGTTTGTGAGTATTTTGTTGGCTTCTTTGCTGACAAAATATAGTTTCATGTCCCCTTTTTTATATATACTTTATCATTGTCTTGTTGGAAGATGAATCTCTACTGGTTGAGTTATCTTTCTGAGAGAATGGCATAATGGATCAAAATCTGCTTATTCTTGTTAGCAATCAGGTTGTCATTAATATTTTTAAGTTACTGACACTATTGGATGAAATGCATTCACAATTTAATTTTAAAACATTATTTATGCATTTATATATGTAAGTACTAGAACTCCAGGTTTTGGAGAATGTTTTATTAATGTACAATTGTGGACTATTGTTGCATATGTTCTGTATTATTCCTCACTATTTAATTTAAAAATATGCATTTCAAATACAAGCAAAAGCACAAAGCAGTTGTTTTTTGTAGGTTATGAACTAGTTTCTCTGTCAAAACGTGTGCTTTCTCCAGTACAAATCAGACTCATACTTACATCTAAATACATCAGTATTACAAAGGTGAAAATAGTGTCCTTCTAAGCAAACTAATGAAGGTTAACAAACACCTTCACATAGTGCCAGAAAAATTGTTTTATGCCTTTTTTGACACTCTCTCATCTTGAAAGCTGCTGAGGAGTAACACAAAGGCAAAAACAAATAACAAAATATAAATCTTCTTGCTTAAACAATTAATACATACCAAACCCTCCATATCCTTGCTGTCTATAACTGTTCTCTTGACCACATGATTCAAACTCAGTTGGAACTCCTTTAGTTTTGGCTTTAAAAAAATTTAAATAATTTAGTGTTTCTATAATTTTTAGAATGTGAAATTTCAAAAACAATATTTTGAGACATGTAAGAACTTTGCTTTCATTTGACAATTACATTTTTTTTTGTTAATCAGAAAGTCTTATTTTTATATATACAGTTTCAAATGAATCAATATTCATTAACATTTTTTTTGATATTTTGCCAACTATAGTAGTTACTACTAGCAAAGATTTATCAATGACCTCAGACTTCACCTTTCAAAATGGTTTTTACCACTGTTGTCAGGCTAGGTATCATAATATTTGCTAACATTCTTGGTCATGATCAATTTATACCCATTAAATACATTTTAAAAAACAAGTTATTTTACATACGTTCACTGCTTGAATGCAATACAATTATAAATAGTAGTCAATAAATATGATTTTGAGTCATCAGAATATATTAGTTTCTACTGTAACCACTAAACATAAAGATTATCTGATGTCTCGTTATAGAAAATTTTTGTACTGTTAAACACACAAAATTTAACAAGAAAATGTTTAGGAATGGACTAAAGCCTGAAGAAACTAAAATTTCCAAGTCTTTGGATTGTTTGACTTCTCATTAGATTTCTTTTTTCACCTATTAAGAAGCTCCAGGTGGTCAACACCTCCAGAAACCATAAATTACTCTTCATACCACATTCCTCACTTTGACAAACAGTTTATAATCTGCCATACAAATCACATTTCACCATTGATATAGCTACTTTCAAGGCTCAGCTTTACTAATAACTAACTTTACCCAACCCACCAAATTATTACATTTGGAGTTTTGTAAAACAACACCCAGAGGTCCCAGTAGTTACTCCAAGGAGCTTTGTTCACCAATCCCCCCCCCCACTTCATCATATAAGAAAAACAATCACACACTGAGAAAATAAAAGCAATTTTCAAGTACACTCTCAAAAAATCAGTGAGAATGGTGCAAAATAAATTTAAAATGACTCATAATATGAGTAATACAAACACCAAGCTTTTATATGTATATATGATTTTAATCGGTGCCATCTTGTCAAAATAATCAATTTGTTGACTGTAATCAATTAATATGCCTGACGATTAATCTATTAGCAAGTTCCACAGATCACCCAAACTCTGGTCAATGTAAAATTAGCCTGATATTTGCTGGTATTATATGAAAGACTTTGTCAGCAGTGGAGATAGGCAGAAACAATGTGGTTGAAATATCTTTTAACCTTCTTC